ACCCACCCACAAGGTCGCGACACTTTAGGTCCCACTTTAACTTTCATAGGAGTAGGAACTGCAACCTTAGTTAGACACTCACATACTTCTAAGAATTTATAGGACGATTTTTGACCTTTCAATAATTCATATGGTGTCGCATTAGTTTTCTTTTAAGGTATTTTATTGAGAATATAATTTGTAGAAAGCAATGTTTTCCCCTACAAATTATGAGTTAAACTAGAACATATCAACATAACATTCATCATTTATTTTAAAGTACGGTTTTTGCATTCAGTAACACCATATTTTAAATGTGGTAGCTTGATGAATGATACCATGTTCTAAACAAATATCAACACAAGGTGTTTTGTATTCATCACCTCTATCATTTCTTAACACCTTGATCTTTTTGCCAAGTTGATTATCAACCACATTTTTGTAATGTTTATACATTTATAAGGTTTCATCTTTGCTTCGTAGCAAATACACATAACAATATCTTGTGCAATCATTGATAAAAGTTTTCCACCTCTAATTGGCACAAATTTAAGATAATATAATATATTACAGAATATTATATTACAAAATTAAAATAATTCAACCAATATTAAATTATTTATATAATTCAATAGTCTATTTATATAATATGCTTTAATTTCACATAATATTGAACATATCAATATTTAACATATTATCATATACTAATGTATATAACATTATTTTATTAAATCTCAATTATTAGTATAATCTCTACTTGTTTATAGCTTAAATAAAAACATATAATAAAATATACGCATGGAATGAATTGTCTTAAGATTGTTGAAAAATATATGTTTCATATGACATTAATTTAAGATCTAACTAACCTTACACTAATATGCTATGAGATAATTCATAATATGCTAAAATAATTAATTAAATATGCAACTCGATATTTATTTAAACATTCAAATTAAAGTAATAAAATAATAATTACTAAATAAAGAACCTGGACCGAGACTAATATTGGATACTATGTCCTTAACATAATTTATGCCGCGTATGATGCTAAGGACTCAATGGTGTTTGTCTCCCAGGATACAACAATCTACATCCACCAGTAGCAGCACTTCAAATTCGTTAATACGATGAACCTCCTCTGTATAATACTCTCTCAGACTCAAAAATGTATATCTCCTACATAAAAACTGAATTGGGTTCGATCCAAACCATTTAGCTTGGACCAATTGCAATATGGCTCATTGGTATAAATGTTTGGTCTAATTGTTCGAACCATTTGACCATATGGTTTGAACCCACACACACTTGGGTTAGGTTCAAGTTAAGAGAGGGAGAGAAAGAATGAAAAAATTAATGAATTAAAATGATAGCAGTGTGGGTATTTATAGAGAGACTGGTGTCTTTTGGTTATTGGGTGCAGGGGCGAAGCCAGCTTGTGCCTAGGGGGGCACATGCCCACTGGCCTGGCTCCGCCCTTTGCATATATATGGTTTTTAATTTTTTTTTTTTTTTTACATATATATATTGAAATTTGTATATTATGCTCCCATTAAAATTATTAGTTTCCAAATTTTATTTAAACTTTTTCTATTTTTTATCTTTTACTCTTTAAATTTCTTTAATTACCTTTCTAAAAATGTTAAATTTCCCTAATTTAATTATGCTCTAATTTGTTTCCTTTAAAATTCATTTTTCTTTACCTTTTTCTCTTCTTATTCTCATTTTTTAAAAAACGAAAATTCCCACTTTGCCCCCCTGAATTTAAATCCTGGCTCCGCCCTTGATTGGGTGTGTTTGTTCATTTACAGAAATGTTTCATCCATTGCCCTTTCTAGTTTTAGTCAACACCTTTCCATTATTAGTACCTTGATTGGGTGTGTCTGTTCATTTACAGAAATGTTCCATCCATTGCACCTTTCCATTATTAGTCAACACCTTTCCATTATTAGTCAAAACGTGACCTCTGGTCATACAAGATGTCTGTTTAGTCTATAACTACCACACCTCTTGGTTTATATCGATATACTGATGTACAAACATTCTTTATACATCAATGTAAATGATATACAGGGCTCTGCATACAACAATATACCACCCGTTCACAGGATATTCACGTTGTCACAAATGACATTCACGTCCTCACATAAAAATCTCTTCAAAGAAAACGCGATATGATAGTGGTTGCATTTTTGAACAAACACTACGTTAAAAGATGTATTTCATTTATTCTGATAAAACAAATTTCATTCACAACTCCAAGACCACCGGACTAGATGATGAACAGAGGATGCAGAGAAGCTCTGTTTTGATCAGCGATCTTTCATTATAATACACTTCTTGCCTTTATGGTGTATCTTTTCTTACTTTATAAAATTTGCTTTACATTCAAAGAAGAAGAAGGAAAAAATAAAAAAAGTCACAAGAGGAGATATGGAAATCGATCAAGACCATAAACTGGTGATAGATGACGTGGCAATTAGAAGAGGGGCATAGCCGCCGCATAGCGTACCCCTCCATGAACAAAGATCAATAAGTCTATAATGTGTGTGGAAATAAATTATTAACTTTGGAAAGTTACAATCATTGAAGAATATAGAAGCCTCCATCTAACAATTCAAACTGAAATTTTATCGTATTTAAGGAGTAGTGTTAGCCCCTTGACATTTGTCCAAGGGAAAACATAGGCATTTCAAGGCCATGCCATGTCTTGGTAACACCTTGGCTTTGGTTAGATAGCCATGAGGATGCTCAGTGGGTTGTCAGCGTGCAAAGGATGCTCAGCGTGCACAAAGATGCTCAGAAGGATGTACAGCGTGCATTGGGGGTGCCCAGTGGCATTTTTGTAAATATGGTAAAAAGTGAAGTTTGGAGTTTTGGCTCGGGATTTTTATGGGAGGTACCTTGAGTCCATAGAAGATGGTTGGCACAGACAACACTTGATTTGGATACCAGGAAAGGCCTGAAAGGCCATTATGACTCCTCAAACACATGTGACGTTTACCACTATCAAAGTGCTAATATTCCTTAGAACTATACTAGGGAGGGGTTTGTTAAGCACATCAGCTGGGCTATGGCATGGCTTTCTTAGAGGGCTTAGCCAACGTGCATGGGCACGTGTTGCACCACTCCTAGATGGTTGCACAAAAGGGGAGCATCCAAACTAATAAAGGGCTTAGCGGATCTCACTCGAGCATCCAGGCGGGCGCGCGGGTAAGTGTCTACCCCGGTGTGTACGCGGGCGTGCAGCCGCGTGCACACTGGCGTTCAGGCATGGCGCGCACAGATGAGCACCAGCGTGTAGCAGCGTACTTATGGGCGTGCATTCGGGCATGCACTTAGACGTGCACACGGGCATGCATGGCTTGGCACGCCATACACTCTGAGACATTTATATATGGATGCAAATTAGTGGGATTGGCATGGGCTAGGTTCACAAGGTTTGCTCAGATGTTGCATAAAGCATGGACCACATAAGTAATGCTTATGGTTACAGAAGATGGCTAAGTGGGCTCAGTTGGTTGGAGGCAGTTACTAACACTTCCCACTCATGTTCATATATTATGGGGAGTGGGGGTGTGCTGAGTAATTTCCCATGCATGTGGCACAGATCTGAGGAGACAACACACAGGCGGTTGGGGTCGGTTTTCCTCCACTATGCTAATATATAAAAGGTGTCAGATAATGTGCAACTTCTTGTGGGCAAGTGGCATGAGCAGAGCGTGCCAACAACCTAGTAGTTGGGCTTGGCAACTACATATGTAGTGCTGGCACACTTAGAGGGTGCCAGGACGATCTTAGGTGGATGAGGGTGTCATCCACCACTTTAGTGCATGGGTGGTTTTGAGAGTTTGCCTATATATTATTAATGTGGGTTCTGTAGAGGGACAAATAGGGAGTGAAACATAATGTGTGTTGAGCTTTGGTTCTTTGTACGAATCTGTGTTCCTTTGTAATATGTTTAATATGAGCAAAGGTTGGGGCTTGTCCTTGTAAACTATGTGTGCCTTCTTTACATTTTAGTATTATGTGTATGTTGTATTGAGTGTTGGCTGAGACTTGGTGGCCCTAAGTGCCATTATAGAGGCAAAAATTTGTGGTGTGATTTAGCCTTGTAATAATTGGTATCAAAGCCCCGTTCTACGATGGCTGGACATTCTTTATTCGACACTCTTTCGCAAACGCTTTTTTGCATTTGCGGTCAATTACGACCAAAAATTAATGTATTTCAATTACAATTATTAAAATATATTAATTGGAATCACAGATAATAGCACAAATAATATTTCAATAACGAAATATATCAATTACAAATTTATATCGTGCAAAGGTCAAAATAAGAGACAAAAGACGGATTGGAAATCGAATAAGACCATAAACTGGTCATGGATGCATAACCCCCTGTGGCACAAAGATCTTTAAGACTATCAAGTGTATGTGGATATGAAATAAGAAAAGTCAGTCAAATTATGGACTCAGGAAAGTTGCAATCGTTGAAGAACATAAAAGGCAGCCCTTGTAGGAGTTCTGTGGTTGAATTGTCACTTTCTATTCAAATACATTAACTGTGATCTTAGACGTTTCTTCTAATTATAAAATAAACATTTGCGGTCAATTATGAGCATGGAAGATATAAGAACATATGGACCCTCATGAAGATATTTATGGTCATATGGGTATGGCATATTCCTTTTTCCATTATTCAGTGGGCCTAAATGTTGGACTTCAATAACACTCTTTTTTATATATAGACTTTTCAAAATTGTCTGTGTATACTCTAAGTCTCATAAAGCGGGAGTGAAAATGAGAGCGAATTTAAAAACGGGAGTGAGAATGAGAGCGAATTTAAAAGCGGGAGTGTGAGAACGGTAGAATTAAGCGATAAGTAGTGAAAATTTGAACGAAAGCGCGCATAAAACGTGAGAACAGAAGCGCGCTCGGAGCGTGAGAGCGACACTTGTTAAGAAGGATTATGTGACTTAGTGTACACTTTCTACGGGAATCTGATTACTGATGAAAAAAAAAAAAAAAAATAGAAAAAAACTAGAGAGCAACAAGAAATAAGGGGGTATTTAGTTGACATAAACCCCAAAATAGCACAAATATCTTTACAGCAGATAAATTATTCTATTATTTTATTAGAGTAAAAAAAAAAAATTCATGTTAAATTGACACATATTTGTAGTAGGCATTCAGTCCATTTCATTACATCAAACGGATCTGAATTCAAGAAATAAATTAATGAATGAGGTACAAACCACCCAGTTATCTGCTAGACAAGATTTATTCGTGCTTCATACAAGTATTTAAGTATAAATTAAACTCAATACAAGCATTTAGCAACATACATATCCATGCTCATATGGGTATGGCATCGATGTACAATGAGACGACATGATATTTCCACACTTTATCAGGATGAGTATATCCATCACTAGTCTTGAAGAAGCAATCCACTAATCCAGTAAGGTTGACACTTCTCCTTAGGATATGCTTGGAGATGTAGTTTGGCTTGAGGCATTCCTCATTGATATCTTTCCATGCATCTGCAACCCCTTTATTGAACACATCAACAACCTTTTCTTTTGTCATCTTGCCGGGATTCTGCCTCATGTAGCATATAATCCCAGTAGCAACATTTCCGGTCTCCAGATCTTCCTACAAAGATTAAAGATTTATAACTGTTAATTAAGATGTTTACATTATAACATAGGACCACAATTGTATGTATACAAATGGCATTTCGTTATCCATTTTTTTCATCTCGTGATGTAGTGTATTGCATTGTAATGTAGTGTCTTGTGTAGCTAATTTACTAGTGCATAGGAATATACAGGATAAGGGATGGGAAAAGATTCATGTTCTTTTTTTCAAATGCATCAAGGAATGTATTATATAAATGTGTGTATAAATATACCTCGTAGTCTACTATGTCGTCCATGAGCCTCACAACTTTGCACGAAGCAACCAAAACTTTAGGTTTCTTTACTACCCAGTCAAATACCTCAGTCATGGCAATCCCTCTCATGCCCAAATAGGATGATACTGTGACCAAGTAATAACCTGCGGTTTTAAGCGCGTTGACCATGTACTCATCGTAAGATGGCACATATCCTTCTTTGTACCACTTGGCCTCCAAGTAGTAACTGTTTGATAGTTCTTTAAACTGTCATTAAACAAAAGTGAGGATATGAGCTACTTGTCATAATAAATAATAAAATGGTAGAAATAAAAAAAAAAAAAAAAAAAAAAAAAAAATAGAAAATGGAAAAAGCCTTACAGCAATTTTCGAGCCCTCAACGCTATACGATCTTCCATCCTTTGACACTTCCCTGTCAAATTCTTCATAGAGATTTAGGAGAGTTCTGTAGAATACCTGCATGTAATCTGGAAGATCATCCATGGCACTCCAATCCCACCTAAAAGTTAATAACACGGTTTCCATATTCATTCAATTGAAGACCAAACATTATCATCCACAATGAAAAATAGAACTTGGGATGTAAATATTAAACCTCTGTATTGCCTCTGTAAAAGGTTTAAGCTCTTCAAGTGTACCATATGCATCATATGTGTCATCAAGAACCGAAGACATAACAATAACTTTAGCGAGCATGACCCGTGGAACCGTGTAATGAGGTTCAAAATACGCTGCCATAGCCCAGAAATAGCACTCAACCAATCTGTTCCTCGCATAAGGAAGTTTTGTTTCAAACTCTAGGTCTTTCCACCACCTATATACAATAGAAGAGATAAATTAAATTTATTAAAAAAGAAATATCGTTGTGTAGATCACTACACACATAGGCATAAATCTGCTCATTACCTTGACATGTGGCAAAGTTCTTGCTTGTGCAACAACTGCACCAGATTGAAGTCATATTTTGCAAACTTCAATAACAATTCGTTCTTAGAATCGTATTCTTCATAGACAGAAATGTAATGCCTTGCTTCTGATCTTGGGATGCCTTTGCGGAGGGGTTGCTCTAGGGCATGAATTACTTGCTTTGCAAGAAAAGGGCATAGTGCATCAGTATCCACAGACTTGAGGTTAGCGATTGTGAAAGCAAGAGCCTCATCTAGAATATCTTCTCCATGTGTCCTCAAGAACGCGGCTTCATACAAGCTCAACATACCCATTACATCCCGAGTGAGGTTTTCCTTGAATTTACCGTTGCTGTCTCTAAATTTGTTGAAGACATCTGTTTCACAAGCCATCATATATACAGTATCAGCCATGTGTGCAAGTGATGTGAATGTTGTGCATATATATGATTTCTTGCTTTTATATGTATAGGTACGTGTGAATGCGTGCATGCTCTGATTGATATGTGTGTGTGTGTGTGTGTGTGTGTGTGTGTGTGTGTGTGTGTGTGTGTGTGATGAGGAGCTTACCAGAAGGCATTTTATGACCATATTGTCTGAATACTCGAAAATGAGTTGCAGCAGTGTTCAAATCATTGTACTCTTCATGATTTTCGAAGTGAGCATGAGAGTGAAAGATTTGTTTCAACTGCTCATCGATCTCTTTCTCGAAGTGATAGAAGATACCAAGGCGATCGAGTGTGTTAATCAAATTCATTTTCTCTGTTGCTTTACTTTTTGCTTCTATTAGCATACTTCGAACTACTTCTTTCAGCACTTCAACCTCTTTAGCATACCTTTCATATGCCTGCATACCCAAATCAGAGCAACACAATTATACAACGCAATACATAACAAGATATTACCTATTACATATACATATAAAAATATTTATTTGTGTGTCTATACATAAAAATCACATGAATGTTACCTCGTTATCTAGATAGAATGAACTGAAACGATCACCCCATAAACTAGGCTCAAAGTTTGCTCCAGGACGGACAGTGTCGGGGTTGCAGTTCATCAGATTAGCAACTTCAACGGAGGCCATTTGAAGATGTAAGTAGGAGGTGACTATGTTTTACTTGTATCAAGAGTTAAATGTAAGGGCTATCAGCTATGCAATACACACTTCATCTACATTCATATTTATAGGAAGGAATGGGGGACTCATACTCCAACGTGAAATATAATTTAGTTGACAGGTCTTTTGTTCTTTTGTGACATTGTAACGGGTAGAAGAAAATTATTGGACGGCTTTGTAGACTAAAAGTACCGACGGCATACATAGCCCCTAACTTCGTATTTTTTGGCACAACATATTTATATATTAATAAGCATAGTAGTTTAATAATATATCTTTTAATCACTCAAAGTAAAGTGAGACTTTTCTATATATATATATATACACACATAGCCCCTACCTCCGTATTTTTTGGCACAATATATTTTTATATTAACAAACGTAGTAGTTTAATAATATATTTTTTAATCACTCAAAGTAAAGTGAGACTTATATATATATATATATATATATATTATCCATTATAAGTACACCTTCACTTCTTACCGACGGAAGCTGTTGATAGTTGAATAGACCTTAGGTTTTGGTGGTTGTTGAATTGGGTTGTCTAATATGTCATGTGTTCAAATGTTTTAAGGCATACGTGCTACTCTTTCTGCAAGTTTAGTTTCTCTCTTAGTAACAATTTCTAAGGGCATGTTTGGTTGGAGTTCTGTTCTGTGTTGTAATGTTTCAGGCCAGCTACAGTATCACTATTGAGGCCCAAAAGATGTTTGGGGAGGCCTGTGTTGCTTGCAACAGTGTCGGAACAACTTCATTTTTTAGGTTTTAACAAAAAAAAAAAAAAAAAAAAAACTTCATTTTTTAGGCCGAAAGTTGAAGCAACAAAATGTTGTTCAGCATGTTTGAGGTACTGTTTGGGCTATTACAATATTGTAGCGGATGATACAAAAACCCACTTATTCCTACTTCTCAGACCACCTATAAAAGGAAAGTTGGAACATTTTAGGGTTGGAAGGCAGCAGCGGGCGTCAGGCGACTCACAGAGCGATTCGATTTCAAAGGCAATACAGTGCGATACAGAACTTGCGTGACCATAAACAACATCGATCTAAGCTAATTTCCTCTTCCCTTCAAAGAACAATCGATGTTTGAGCAGCTTTCCGTTTCTTCGGAAAAAAATTGTTCGATTTGAGCTTCATTTTGAAAGTAAACGACTTCGAAAAACAAACACTACATGTTATTGATTTTTTTTTCTTAAATAAAAGGACCTGAAAATTGTTCTGATGTGTTCGATTTGAGGAAAACCCTAATTTCTGTACTACTCGTCTTCTAATAAACCCAGTCTTCTAATTTCGATTTGATAGATGTTTTATTATTTTTATCAGATTTAACACCACTGGTCAAAGGATTGGGAGGGGAAGAAAGGGGGAAAAAAAAAATGTAATTCATATTTGCAAATTTCAAGACCGTATACATTTTTTCATTTGAACAATTCTTCTTAGTACGATTATGTGCTGGGCATGCATGATTTTTTTAATTTTTGATGTAAATTGAAAATTGGATCTTCTTGGTTGATCTCTCTCTCTCCCAATCAGGAATTTTTTATCTCATTGATTATATCTTCGATTTTCAAACTGTGATTTTGTTGAGATAAACTGATACAAAAATGAAATTTGGGTCTATGATTTAATTTTGTTAGGTTGCTGTTTTGTGAATGGAGGATTGGGCAGTATTGTTGTTGTTTTTGTTGAGGAGTTTGGGCATATGTGAAATGGGTCTTTGTTTGTTTAATTTGAATTTTTACCTTTGTGAATTCATTTGAGAAATGAAAAATGGAAAGTGGACTCGAAAAGTTGAATTGAAATTGGAATTGTGAAAAAGATGTGAACCTTGGGTTTTTAATTTAGCACTAGGACTAAGATACATTAGCATTATTTTCTATTGGAATGAGAGCAGTTCCTTTGGTGATAATGTATGAGGTATTTGAATAACCTTTAGATTCCTCATTTCTAAGTGCTTCTTTGTGACATTTGACTATAGATCTAACACTTTTCATTGCTTAATTAATAAGTGCATTCCATTATAGTTATCTTGCAAAGTAGTACCCGAAGCCAAGGGAAAAACATTAGAAGAAATTCAGGCATCCATCACTTCATTCTCAGCATCAACTGCTTTTTTGGAGTGGAATGCACTTGTACTTCTATATTGAAGTCTTCCAACGCTAACGATGATGCGGTTGACAAATATTGGAAATGAGTGGACATTTGTTTCCTTCAGTAATGCTGGACTTGGAAGAGATCGGACAATTTTGAAAAAATTTCAGTTTGCCTCTTCTAATAAATAGTTAATTTAAGATCTATGTATAGAAAGATGGGACAACTTTGTGTACAATTTTAATATTGGTTGGATTGTTAATTATAGACAATTTGTATTCAAGTATGAAATGAATTTGAATTGGTATATGGTTCATTATATATACACATGATCAGTATTGTAAATGCTTTCAATTTTAATTGTATGAAATGGATTATTGATTATATGCAAGTTTTATAAAGCTCAAACAGAATGATTTTTAATGGAATGGTTTAGAATAATTTTTAATGGAATCATATTCATCATTATTCAAAGGTTTTATATAGGAATGATATCAATTTAAATGGAATTACATGTTTCCATATTGTCAATGATTGTTATACACAATTTATATAGTCATTAATTTTTTGCTACAGTTTGACTCTGCCAAACATGTTTTGTTTTTATATTTCTTGAAACGAAATACCTTGTCAAATATGTTCTATTATGTTTCTGTTCCAAAATTCTCATTGCAAATTTTCGTTGCCAAACATGTTTTGTTCTCATCTCAAAACTAAACATGACAAAACACTTGTTCTGTTCTTATGCTAGAACAAAACGCCAGGGAGCACAACGCATACCAAACAGGCCCTAAGTATTAATGTACCAAGACTCCTCTGAAGACTTTTTTCTGTTTGCCTTTCTTAGTGTAGACTTTATAATTTTTTCTGTTAGACGCTAAATGTTATACATTTTAGCCCCTTTACTAGCATGTTTTATTATCTTAATAATAGTTTATTTGTGATTTTACATTATTTTATTATTTTTATTTATTTCAGTACTTTAATTGTAAAATCAGTCAAGACCAGTAATTCTGTGACATTCTGTAGGACCGAGCAATGTTGAAGATCTAAGTCTAATTATACTTAGAAAATAGTCCAAAAGAAGCTACAAGATGATGAGAATGGAAAGAAGAAGAAAAGGAAAAATCATTCTCCAAAAAGGAAACTTTCGCCAAAGTTGGTCTGTTTTGGTAATCTAGCTATATGTCCCTTTTTGAGTGTCAAAACGGCTAAATTCCCGCAAAAGTTGAAAGGAAATTCAAAGAGCCACAATTTTGTATTTCACGAGGATTCCCTAAAACAGCTATTTACCTTGTCAAAATTGGTCTGAAAGTCTGTACGAATTTTGTAGTCCTTATTTGACAGAATTTCTATGTATGTCTCCTATAAGAAAAAGGGAACTTTAGGGCTGATATTTTATTATTTAAAGGGGGTTCTCTACAACATTGAGGGATAATATAGAGGAGCTTGAGGCTGAGTTCAGAGGAGAAGTGTCCAGAAGAAAGAAGAGATCGATCTATGGCGGTGAAGATGTCTTCCTCAACCATGAACAATTCCACTCCAGTCATGCTTGGCTAAACGCTTTGCTAGGGTTGTGATGTAGCCCTAACTTAGCCCACTAGTTTGATTGTATTTAATTATTGGAGAACAATTTTTATCATACATGATTATGTAATCTATAGAATTTTTAATTGACTTTTCAATAAGAATCGGTTTTAGAGTTTTAATTCAATTACAAATATTTTTCTATCTTGTCTTAGATATTTTAATCTTGTAATTGAACACAACTCATTCACTTCTTGTGGTTGTGAATGAGATGATTACACAATGGTTCTTATCTGAATATAATGTTAGAGATTTGATGGATTATGCCTAGAAAAGATTGACCATGCTACACCCTAGAGTAAAGTAGATAGGTAGATGGTTTATGTCAATCGAAGATAGTCCATGTTTAGTTTTAAATTATATTATTTTCTAACTGAATTAATATGTGCTTGTAGCCATGATTAATTCCATGTGCATGTTATATGATATATCTTCAATAAATTGATGCAATTGACTGGTGGTGCGACGTTAGTGGTGAAATCATATCCCTAGTCCTCTCTCTATTTTCTACATCCTATTTAATCATTGTTCTTCAATTTATTTTATTTTTCTATTTAGTTAATTTAGAATTTATCATCACAATTCGATTATCATACTTTCAAGTTAATTTAGAATTTAAGAAATCTGTTGACAAACTTATTTTACACAAGTCTCTTGGGTACGACACCCTTACAAGTAAACCCTATCTACAAAGATTCGTGCACTTACGAGTGGTACACATAAATCTCACAAAATTTTCCACGAACACCTTGCAATCAGTTGCCTTTAAATCTGGTAGATGTGAGGGGAACACGAAAAAATTAAGAGGTTACAGGGTGGAAAGAGGTGTGAGAAAAAGATAAAGCTATTTGTTGTTAATGAAGAAAATTTTATCTTACCTCTTCAAAATAATTTTGTAGAAAATATAATATGATTGGCAAATTCTGGTGTCAAAAGAAGGATTGATCTTGTAATTTTTTATTTTAAGTTACGTGCATGGAATGGTAGTGGAATAATAATTTGAAAACACCTTGGGGGTGAATAGGTGAAGCTTAACCCTTTATCTGATTTTTTGCTTCCTTTTAAATTTAATGATATAAATCTAAAACAATCCCACGAAGCAAATATAAAGTGCAAGTAAACTAAAGAGCTAGAGATAGAGATTGACATTACATTTTTAGCATAGAAATCCCCTATTGGAAGAAAACCAAAGAGCTCGAGAAAAAATCACAAAGTCTCGTGTAAAACGATCCACTATCTTCAAAGCAAAGTATAATATTCCGACTCAAGCTCAAGCTCAAACTCACTCAGCTCTATCAAGAACTAGTTATTGAACACCTCTAACTTTGTGAGTCCGCC